ACTCTGTGCCAAAGATTTTGCATGTTCCTTTATGTCCCTAATGAATTTAAACAAAAAAAAATGAAATCATTTTTCAAGTGATAAAGAAGCTTTAGGAAAAGATTATGTTGTTGTGTCATACCTGCACCGTGGCACGGCGCAGTCGGATTCTTCGCACTTTGTCGAGTGCAGTTTCAGTATGAGCCATGTCTTCTTACAGTGTCTACAACCTCCAGCCGCCCTAATGGTGCACATTTTTTAATGGTAGAATAACTTTTTTATGAGATTGCAATTGGGGTCGGAGCAGAGTGAGCGACATCGAGCGGCATGCAGCGACAGTTCCAGCACTTCCTTTTCAATCAGATAACATTCCAGGTCAATTAACATTCATGTCGATCAACTGTTTTAAAGATGGACAGTATCTTCGTACAGATAATTTATCTGTCTTCGTGATCTCTCTGTTCTCAGCTGAAGAATCAACGTCGGAAGAATGAGGAGTCAACTTATGAATGTGCAAGGAACAACCGTCTCGTTGATGGTATGCATCACAAACAAAAAATTCAGAACAGGTCTCACAATGCCAGCACCGGTCTATTGGTGTGTCCTTGTTACAAATACAGCAGTTGGTAGTAGCAAGCAACGACTCCAGATTATGAAGGTAATATAGGATCATCATCGAGGTATGCTTGGCCCGACAAACTGTGTCGAACTGATAGTTGTTCTTCTGACAGAACAACAAAAACTTGTACCTATCTTCAAATAGACCATTATCCATGCAGACATCTTTATCATCAGTATCAGAAAGAACAACATCCACCATAATCTGGAAAAAGGATAGATATGCATAAATACTCCAACCTCTTCATAATAAAGGTAACGAAATGGTTAAAACTGCGGGAGCTAAGAACTTACCCATCGGAGTGAATGTTTTTCGCCATTCAATAAAGTGTGAGTGGAATCCTTGTAGGTTCTTTGTTTTGCATCATGGCACCTGAAAGATGACATGAAGTGTGTAGCGCAATGAATACCGAGGAGGAAATATAGTGCTAACCAGAAGACAACAAGAGAAAAATGCATAAACACTGACAAATTACCTTCCACAAAGCTGAAAGCTTTTACACAGATGGCAAGACCACTGGCATCTGTCTAATATGGCTCTGTGGCAGCATACACAGACGAACTGCAGGTGGGCGATGATGAAATCCTCCTTCATAGATAAAATATTTTGTCCCAGCTGCCAAAGAAGGAAGAAATGAAATAACATATTTAGTGACCATCATAGTTGCATTAAAAAGGAATTCAATAGAAAGATAGACTAAACAGATTCAAAATAGCATGGTTTGTAAATTTTTACCTTCTGCATCAGCAGAATATCCTTAATGGCATGACCAGATGGATTTGTGTGTCCCATGGTTTGCAATGTTCTCTTTGACACAGTTTTCATGCTCATATTTTTTGAGTCTTTCTTGATTTGTTTTATCACATCGTTGGCACCACCAGAACAATAATCACCATCAAAATATGGTAAATGAGCTGCTGTCACCTTGGTATTGTATTTCCCAGTGGAAAAAAATTGATCATACAAGTTCATCAAATCAACCACTATGCCAGATTTAGCAGCCTTTCGCAACATGGTCTTCCGCCTGCACTTGCAAAACTGCTGCTAGTCAAGATGTGTATGCAATCAAGGATACAAATACAAACAGACACAACGCAGCACGCACACAGACATATATATGAGATTAGTGTGTGTGTGAGGGAGAGGGAGAGGGGAGACATACCACTGCCGCAGCTTATTAGACTTCGGTATTTTCTGACCCTCTGGGTGGCAATACAAGATATAATCTTCTCCTTTCTTAGGTGGACAGGCCCATATGTAACAGGTTGCAAATCCCCGTTTCTTGCGGTAGTCAAGGTATCCTACCTAAAAACGGAAACAGAATACGAAAACAAGAAATGATCTCAGTGATCCAACTATAACAACCAATGAGATTTGAAAAGTGGAGCAGGAAATTATATGATATACCAATATTTCATGATAAACAACAGTTCAAAGAGCTTCTCCACTAGCAGCAGTTTCTGTTTCAGGCCTAAAATACTCAACAGAATCAAGATAGGAGATATAAACGCAGCGTTGATTTGGTCGACCGCATTCTGCGCCATATTCTTGGACATACATGATAAAAAGGCATACATCTGCCCCTTCAATATTCTGAAACAAAAGAATAACCTGAAAATGGAAAACCAATTTTCGTGGTTTAGTGAAAATGAAATAAATCTAGAGATTGGTCCCAAAAGAGGCATGTTACAATTTGGGAATACTAACTACCTTCAAAACATTTAATAATTTCCAAAAATATCTTACCTTGGACTTGTATGGAAATTCAGCAGGGTAATTCTGATCCTGAAGTATATCTAAAAGCAGCTCATTCACTTTTACATGTTTCTGAAACGATAAAACCTCCCTGACAATAAGACCTTCTGCTTCAGGAACCTATTGAACAATAGAACATATACCGTCAATGAAAAAGCTAAACTAAGTACAAATAACATTTTGAATCAAAGTCTGTCGCTACAAAAATGAGAACATTACACTGAAACGTGCTATCTTACCTCATCAATGCTCATTTCTTTAGCCCTTGCCTTCTCTTGCCTGTTTTTCTGAAGGAACCTAGACAGTCTTTGCTCTAAGTGGTCACTGAGTCTGGATAGCGGCAGATCTTTTGCACCAAGAACAGTCCTCACTGGTGGGGGCATCCGTTCTCCATTTTCAATTTCTTTTTTGCAGCATTTTGGGCAGACAAAATCTTTTCCTTATTATTTTTCTCATTAAAAAGAGCACATATCTGGTGTTGCCAACATTTACATTTATCACACTGAACCTGGTTAATGCACAACAATGAAAGCACAAACCTGGTTAATGCACTTTCTGAGAGTTGATATATGCTCCTTTATTTGCTGTGCTGTGAAATTTTCTATCAAGGACTCACCTCTGTTTTTGACTCTCAAACTTTATTTCCAATTGGTTGAAGTGATCTCTTTTATCATCTGCATTATCAGTACCATTTACGAATCTGATATCCTCTTCTTTATTATTGCCAACTAAATCAGTTTCTGCTACTTTATAACTAGCTGCAACCGCGTCTGGAGTACCAGGAAAACGCTCTGTAGCCGATATAGGATAACTATCTACCACATATTTGTCCATCTCTTCAGCACTTGAAGAATCTTCCATAAGCTTTGATAACCATTCGGTGTTCACCTCATCTGAACCCTCACCTATCTCTTTATCACCTGTGGAATCTTCTATATACTTTGGTAACAATTCGGTGTTCACCTCCATAATCTCATAATTAGAAAATTCAAGAAATTCTGGCGACTGCACCAAGGGTGGAAGGCTGGTAAAACTTGGTTGAACCTTCAATGAAGCCATTGCATAAAACGTACCATGATAAAGCAAGAAGGGAGAAGTAGGATTTTCCAGCTTCAAACGCTTTGGCAAATGTTCAATGACTTCTGAACTACCACATATGGGATGACCAGAATCTCCTTTACCCGAAACTCTTAGAAGATCTCTTTTTACATGTTCAAGATCAGGACAAAATCTATTGGCAAAAGGGAGCCGAAGAAGATGACGACGAGTTGCAGCTTGTCAATTTATGGGACAGAATGATTGATTTTGTCCAGTGAAAGGGAGCCGAGGAAGATGACCATGAGTCGCAGCTTGTTCGTTTACGGGACGGAAAGACTGATTGTGGCAGGTGAAAGGACATCTAGATTCAGGTTCTAATGGTCTTTGAAACCGCAAGTTATGAACATTAGTCGAAGCAGTCTTCCTCGGGTCTGCACCAAGCCGTACTTCAGTAACAGTAGGACAAACCGTCTTGCTCCCAACATGCACCATAGCCAAGTTGGAGAACTCCTTAATCCAGTTAGAATTCTACACAGAAAAATTATTATAAAAAGTATCAGATATTCAATCAATTTCACATTATCACAAACAAAACCTAATTGGTTATTCAACAAAATCTAGATTACACTTAACCTCTTTGTAAAGAAAATTCGATTATCGGTACATCAAAATTAATTGATACAATGAGAGCAAACCGAAACAACATAAAAACCCAATCAAAACCCTAAAAACGCCAATGATAATCAAGGTTACAAAACCCTACCTCCGCTAAACAGCTACACTTTTGAAAAAGACTCCTTGTCGGCGAAGTAAACAGAAAGAGAGTGAAACGAAGAGAGCAACTAGGAATGGTATCGAAAAACAGAAAATCGAATACATCAAGAATGATTCATAGAGCAGATAATCTCAATACTAAAGCATAAATATTTACGTTAAGTTCAGGGTTTCAGGGGTTACCTTTTTTAATATATCGCTATATAAGAAACTTGGAACGCAAGAAAGAGGCTGGGACGAAGACGGAATTTTGGCTTTTGTATTTCTTAAAATTACCCTAATGTAACCTAATCATGGCTTTGAATTCACCGACCCATAATATTATGTTAGTTTTGTATTTATTATTATATAAATGCTTTGTTACTAAAAATATTGTTTTTTAAAAAATATTTTTTAAATGATGATTTTTAAAAAAAATTAAGTTTTATTTATTGTATTCTATTTCATCTTTTGCTAATTATAAATAAAAAGATAATTTCATATGAAAATCAAAATTTATTTTATTTATACTACATTCATTTTCCTTATTCGTCATAATTAACTTCCATATATTACATAAAACTGAATCTATTAATGGTATCAATAATAAAAGGAAAATTATTTTTCTTAAAAATCTTAAATTCGAACAATTACTTTTCGTTGTATAAAAAAAACAAGATTGTATATAAGACATCTTAGGAAACAAAGTCTTAAAGAGAAATATAGACTCTAAAAACAACAAACCATGAAAACAATTGACAATAAATCAATCGATTTTGAAAATTATACTTCAACCGAATCATTATTATCAACGTTTTCTTGAGAATGAAATTGACATCTTGTTTTTTTTTCTAATAGATCAGTGAGAATAAACAAATATATTTTTAACGTAGGAAATATATCAATTATAAACAATATCACATGATTAAAAACGTTTAAGGGTGCGTCGGGTAATGTTGTCTAAAAGCACTTTTAGTTGAAAAAAAGTTCATTTTCACTACAAAATCAATGTCACATGGATAAAAATTGAAAAGAAAAATGATGTGGACAAACCGCAAAAGTTGAGTTAACTGACTTTTTTCATTTCCAACTTTACATTTAGAAGCAAATTTATATTTTTACTCTAAAAGCATGAGCTCTACTCATTTGTCATGAAAAAGAATTTTGAAATTCAATTTCTTTTATTAATCAAGTATTTACATTTTATTTCAATAATTCAATACTAACGTCTTTAAATAGCCATTATTCGCTATTTTTAAAAAAAGAAAATTATGATATTTTTGGTGTGTATAGTCATTATCTTGTTGTTTTTCCTAAAGAAAATTAAAAATATCTACGATGATATGTAATTATTAATATTTTTTAAAATAGTTTGGTATGTATCCCATAATGCACGTGTGTATTATTGGTGATAATGGCAACTTTCTTCCTACCCAAACAACATTGTCTTCATTAACAAATTCATTCGTCTTCGGAGGCTGCAGACTGCAGTCAACCACAATACACACCCAACTCACATTTCCAGTCCAACCTTAACTCGCTACTCACTTCCCTCGTCAACTCAGCCACTTACTCCTATAACAGCTACACCATCATGGGCTCCAGTCCACGATAGCAGAGACCCCACTACAGTAACGTTCCCATATGGTACGGAATCTCCGTTGCCCTCCAAGATCCCATAGTTTTATCGTCACATTTCCCTTTGTAACTTTGTCATATTAAATCCAACCTGAATTCCACATGGACATTCGATGATTTTCTTTTAAGATATCCTCAAGGAGAACCATTATATCCGATTTTTCCAAATAAAAGGTACCTACGGTGGGAATCATGTCTTCACTATAGCCCCGTCTGGTAAACAAAATAAAATTAAACATTAGACAAAGCCATTAACAACGCTTATATGCATCAGCAGGAAGAACAAAATAAATAAAAAATAAAAAAAATGCATTACTCACAGCAATGGAACTAACAAGGGACGCTTTTCCGGCATTCTGAAGACCAACAAGGGATAGTTCCATTTCCTGCTTAAAGAATAAGCTGCAATGCAGATACTCAGAAATAAGCACAGAAGTGCTTAAAAACACTACTTCACGCTAACTATTACCTCATGTTCTCATAAAAAACTATACAATGATATTTGGCGTCTATGATGATTATACAAATTGATTACCTGGATGGGAGAAAGAAGCTAGACGGCATGGCCTATTCAGGGACAATGACAAGTAAGTGATAAAAAATCGAATAATATGACTATTAAAACCCGGAGAAATAAAAAGAAACAGTTTGGTACAATATTGGTTTAAAATTATCACTAACATCACTACTCGATAATTCCAAAAGAGCCGCTACCGAATTTCAATAACATATTTGTAGTCATGCACTTCAAAATTTAGAAAGAAGTTACTAATTTAAAGCCAAAAAATTGACCAAAACGAAATCGATTTAACTAAGAAGCCTACTACATTGCCTCTCTTTGACTAAAGAGTATAACACCATTACACCTCTAAAACAATGAAAATGCAGAATCTCAAAAGAACAGATGAACTCACTCATGCCAATAATACCTCCACAGTATTAGAAAAGAGACATCAAACATTGGCCATACTTCCCACTACTATCATGGCGAACAAAGGATATATTTGAAATGATCCGTATGAATATAGAACATTTTTACAGCAGTCTTTTATAAATCTAAAATCAAATCTAAAGTACAAAGCAAGAAATGTAAATTGAAATTCCACTAATATCCCCAGCAGCCAACCACAGCAAAACACAATTAAAACCCAGTCTTGCATAGTCTTACAGAACTAATATCGAGATCAAACCGTAATCGCTTATAGAATCAAGAATTTCCCTAATCTCTTATTATATAATATGGGAGAATTACCTGCGGAGCCAATTGAGAAGTGAAACCCACAAACCCATTTTGAGGAAACTGCAGAGCCGAGAGAGTGCAGAGAAGGATAGCTAAGGAAACTTCAGTCCCTCGGTTTCCCCTTGTTTTCTTGTCTTTTGTAAACAAAAGCTTACGTGTGGATGTGGTTTCCTATTATAAATCAACGATGAATTGAAACCAAAATTATTTTATATAAATAACATATTTTTTATTATGAAATTTTATCGTTATTTGATTAAAACTTCGATTTAAAATTTTTAGATACAAGAGTAAATATATTTGACCGATTTGTCGAATTATTCAATCTTTATTTCTTCCGTAGTTATTCAAATTATAGATTTTAAATTTTCTAGGAACACTCATATTCCTTATCTTATAGATTTTCCCCCTCTTTCCCATATAAAACAAGATTTACAATTTTTGAAACAAAAACTATATAAAATATTATTGCAAGAAAGTTTAATCTTAAAATTTAACTTAATATATATTTCTTCAACTTAATCAGAGTCTTTTCAACAATAAACTGTACATTCAAATTCTAAATTTTTTAAATATTATATAAATATGTTAAAACTTATAATATAAATCTAATTTAGAACAAATATATATAAAACATATTTTTTTCAATATTTATTTTAATCTTTTATTACCAGATGAATGAACTCCCTTCTAATAGTATCATAGAATTAAGTTTAAATTTTCATCTCATAATAAATTTATACACTATTAAATCTAAATTAATTGACTAATAAAAAATATTGATTTTGTACTAAAATGTCATAAAAATTAATTTAATTTTAACATACACTTTCTTTTTATTATATCAATTTAACATTTACTTTTTAATTAAATTTGACTTTCTCTTTTTTCAAAAAAGTACTATTAAAATAACTAATTTTAACAATTTTAAAGTGGCAACTCACATGACAGCCTATAAACATTTCATACTAATATAAAATTATTTATCTTATATGTCATCATCCTAATAAATGATTTATATACATATATTTCAAAAATTCAAAATAAAAAACCCCAAAGAATATACACAAAATGCCAGACGAGATTTCTGTTTAAATATAGTGGTCGACTCATGCCATGTACAACATAATAACCACAACAAAAGCTGTAGTAACAACAATTGCACAATGCTTTCCACAATCCAATTTGCACTCAAAATCACAGGTAGAAATACATTTATTCAAGACAAAACAAAAAAAGTATTCATGAAAAGATAAAAGAAAAACACTAAAACAGTTCAACATCCTTATCCCTCTGTTCCTTCAACTCACTGCAATTCTCTTTTCCAGAAACAGACTGATTCCAAAGCTATAGAGCACTCAAATGGAACAGGACAGGCCTCACCCCTACCACGTGCTTATCCTTCTCCTCATCCTTTCCCCACCTGCACCATTTCTGAATTGAACTAGGAGACACACACATATCAGCACTGGCAAAGCTGTAGTAAACAACTGAACCGACATTCCCGAGCCATTCAAAGCATCTTTTTTCGCAACGGTATCCATTCACGGAACATGAGATTCCACACCCAAGGTCATCTCCATTCACGTTAACATGTACAGATACGGAGAACTCAGACGGTTTGAAACAAGCCAACACCCTCTCAACCAGTTGAGTTGAATTCAGAGTCTCGAGATCATAACCAGATGCCTCGAAACTGGCATAACTGAAATTATCTTCTGGAGTGATGTGAATTGTTGAAATCGCATCATTTTCGATTGAATTCATGGAGTAACCGCAAGGGTCGAACTTAAAATCGCATATCCGTGACTGCGGAAGAATCTTTCGTATACCTGAATTCTCGGTCATCAAAGCTGCTGAACTTGCATGAGTTTTGTAGAAGACGGATGCCTTCTTCCTGTCCAAGCCAGTCATGCACATTTCTAAAGTATACACTGCATTTGAATGACTACTCATTTGTGCAGAAGCAGAATAAACATGCCATTTCTTTGTTTTATTGGAACCACCCATGATATAAGCCTTTCTATAAGGACGAAGCTTAGGAAAATAGCGATCAAGGACCGCAACTTCCTCATAGAAGTTACGGTGTGGGAATGGTTGAGCCTTGGGAAATATGAAGCTCCCACGAGTGTACCTCACCGTCCGTACAGAAAGAGAAAGGCTGTTGGCCAGTTTCAGAATAGCAGGGATTGCAAAGAGCAATTTTGTAGTGCCACAAGTCTTTATGATGATTTTGTATGGGTAGACAAAGAGGCTCGATTCAGAAAGGACATAAGAATCAACATGATCGTTAGACAGTGAAGAAACGACCATGCATTCAGCCGGTTTTAGGAATTCATCCAGTTGAACTTTGGATAAGGCACGGAGGCCCATCCCTAGAGGATCAACAGCGAAACCAGGGTCAGAAAATGACACCTCAAGTCTTTTTTCATAGCCTTCGAATCCAATAGCAGAGACATGGAAGGCCATCTTCGATTAAAGTAAACACACGTAGAAAGAAAGAAGTACTAGAGAACAAGGAAGCAAGCAAGTAAACAAACTATATATGATTGCAGTGAGATTGAGGATTTGGGACTATCTAGGAACTTAGCGAGAGTCAGGATGGTTTTCGGACACACTGCAAAGAAAAAAAATAGAAAAAAGAAATCAGAAAATGTCAATTAACAGATTCTATCAGTATTTTTATGATGAAATATAAACCACACAATTCAACAACATAGACTCACGTTGGAGTAAGCAGCAGATCGGAACTTCTTGATCCCACCATGGGGTCGAACATCTTCAATGCTGTAACCTAGAGGAGCTTCATAGAACAAGGATCTACTACTACTGGACTTGATCTTTTTACCACCCTTGGTCTCCATTAGATCATTCAGTCGTTTCCTGATAGATCCACCCAAATAAAAGTTTAGCACTAAAATAACTTCAAATAATCAAGATCTGCCCCAAATATATAATACACAAATGATGAAATAACCTAATACTATACTACAGAGAAATTCAAATAATTAAGATGCACCAATCAACACTTCACAAGGCAGTGAAACAAACAAAGAAGAGTCCTCAGACATCAGCTAAAATTTCCGAATCTTTATAATAATAGTCATAAGTCATAAATCTTCATTCCAAAACCCCACCATTTTCAATGAAGAAGATAATTAACATGATAATTTTCTGATTCCTAGTAGATGGCTTAATCTGTGGTTTACATTATAAACATGAACCAATGGTCATAGAAGTCCAAAACAAACTTATTCAGTATCATTGCAAACTGCATAGTCGATTGAAAGGCATAACGACTGCGAAGCTCACTCCTCGGAAAGATGGGAAGTTTTAATCTCTCCCACAGCTCTGTTTGAAAGTATTGTGTGTGTGTGTATATATATATATATGGGTTAGGATCCACTTACACAAAAGTTTTACTCCTGTTTATGATTGAACGGTTAATCACATCCGCCTATTTTTCATTCATCCTTTGATCCAAAAAAGATTAAAAAAAAAAAACTAAACAGCTTTACACGATTTGAACATATCCTGCCTCTATATATATTCCACAACTTCTATCACTCAAAAGACTTCTATATACTTTATTGTAAAAGATTTCAGGCTCTTCAGTTCTACGACATATAAATAAACAAATCCTATCAACAATTAATAGCCTATAAAAACAATCCTAACATAAAGAAAAAAAAAGAAACAAAATTAAAGGCTTAAAAGAACATGACAATTTCAATTGACAAATGAAACGAAAAGGCAAATACTCACAATGTAAAACTAATCAAAATCTTGAAACAATCAGCAAGCCAATAACAAAAACCCCTCTTTTTGAACCCTTTTAGATCAACAAGACCTGAAACTCCAAAAAGAAAATCCAAATCAATCAATCTAGTAAAACATGCAAACAAATCCCAACAAAAAATAAATAAACAAGAATTCTTATTAATTTACCAGTTCAAATTGAAAAGTACGAAGTTGAACCCAGAAAAAAATTAAGAGAGAAAATAAAGTAAAGATCCAAAGGGTAGCTGAGATTTTTTTTCCTGTCTATTTTGAGCTTCTTTGCGAAGAAAACGCCGAGGGATTTTATTGTGGTTTTGGAATAACAAAGTTAAATGGTCATACCCTTTATTTCGGTCTTTTAATTTTGTTAAATTTCGATTATTTGCTCGAAACTTCAATAATCAAATGTTTCGTATATTAAAATTTAAAAGTAAGATTTTATTTTTATTTATCTCGTATTTTTTAAGAATAAAGCATTAATTAAATTTTAATTTAATGAATATCACTATTATTATAATATACAGAAATTTAAACGTATTTAAAATCATTATTTCTAAACTTTGTGATAATAATTATTTGGGTAAATTGGTAAAATGGGAATGAGGGGGTCCAATAAGGATAGAACATGGAAAGGATTGACATTTGGGCAAGTTGGAAGCTTTGATGGATAAGAAAGACTCATCAATGGTGACTCACCCTACACATCATAATTTAGTATAAAATATACTAATGATAATCATAAGAAGGAAAGCTTAGACAAAAATCAAGTATAATTAGGGATGGGTATGGGTCGGGTTGGGTTTTTGGTCCACCCAACCTCCACCAGAGACCCGACTCGACCCAATCAAAATAAGGTTTCACCTGATCCGATCCGAATATATGACTTAAAAACCCGAAACGAAATAATAAAAAATTTATTTTTATTCAATAAAAACAATAACTTAATTAAAAAAATTATATATATAAGGGTATTATTGTAATTATTTCTAAATATATAAGGTAAAATTATATTTTTTTCGGGTCGGGTATTTTTCACCCTAAACCCGAACCCGACCCGAATATCACACTTAAAAAAACCGACCGACCTGAACCCGAACCTAATTTTTTTTTTAAAAAAATCCGACGGGTCGAGTCGGAACCCGTCGGGTTCGGGTTGAGTGCCCATCCTAAGTATAATACAGGGGGATAATAGCACAATGCCCCCTGAACTATAAAAAATCTTTCAATGTAGTATGTATGTGTGTCTATATATATATATATATATATATAAAATGATGATTTTGGTATTTAAAGGTTCATTTTTTTATTAAAGTGATTCATATCGTTAATAATGTTAAGCATGAAATGATGTGATGTATTTTTTCAATTATAATTTAACACATAAGATCACATGCGCATCATTGGTTGTATCATATGTCAAGTTATAATCGACTGAATGTGTTGCAGTTCTTGCTATTTAACGAAATGGAAGTACTTTAAAATAAGAGACGTAATGAAAGTGCAAGTACAAAAAATCAACATTTTTAAAATATAAAACACCATATTGAAAGATTCTATAGTTGAGGAGTCCTTGGTGCTATTATTCCTATTATAAAAAATAAGAATATGATTTGTATAGGTGATCTCTCCCTTGGTGTCTTTTCATTGCTTCGGCTCTCTTCCTCGCCTTATTTCAACATTAATAACGACACACAGTTTTCCAAATATAGATGATCAATTATCCAAATATATATATATATATATGATCCTATGGAGAAGCAATATTAATTTTTTTAATATAATTATAATTTTAAATTTTAGGCTAAATTGTGTTTTAGTCACTAAGCTTTTATAATATTTTTGTTCTGCTCGTTGAACAATCAAACAAATTTAATTATAATATTGAACTTTCTGAATTTATTTTATTAGTCACTCGACCGTCACATATGAGACAACTAGGTGGGTGACTTTCTTTCTGCATACGTGGGTAAAAAATATTTATTTATTTTTTCTTTTCTTTTTCCTCTATTTATCTTGTATTTAAAATAATTCATTACGAATTTATTCTTTACCTCAAGTTTTCATTAGAACATACTTCTTTGATATTTTCTTTGATCATTTTAGACATTTACGAATTTGTCTTATTGTTTTTTTTATTACTTTATCCGTTTAAAAATTTCTAAAACTTTTTTAAAATTCAAAAAAAAAAATTAACACAACCTAATTACTTTTTGGGGGATTTGAGTGTCAATCCAAAAATCCTAATGAGTATCTGTACAAAGAATACAATAAAATGTCAGTCTCATTGAACAGTTGTGGCAAAGAGAAGGCTGATACTTTAGTCTGATTTTTTTCGGTCTCGAGGATCGAAGAGGAATGTTTCTGTGCCTGTTTTCTCATGAACGACGCTCGAAGAGATGTCGTAAGAAACTTAATGGATATGTCGAAGTTGGTACTAATAACATTATTTTCCTGATATAATCATTGATATTCGATCGGTTAATAACATTATTTGATACATCATACTATAAAACACATTAATGCATTAGTCATTGCCATGTCCTAGTTGGTCTCCCACAAGATGAGTTCACCTTTCCTCTCCAACAAGAATGTACAGGTTGAGTGGTTGCTTCAATGCACTTGTTTACTCTTCAATTATCGCATTTGCATTTCCATATTTCTTCTCGTACTCAATTTTTGATTCCGATAAGCTCCGGGATACCTGCAAGCAAACCACTCTAACATAAGTATAGTGTCATCAATGATTGCAATTCATTACTAATCTCTCGACTTAAATCGAAAACGTTTTAGTCACTTGTTTCTAACTGCAAGAAACCATTAGCAGGCGGTTCTCAAATTGAGCAAACTCAATACAATATGCAAGCCATCAAGCAGAAATCCATTCATCAACAGATGCATCTAAAATAACATTTTTAAGTTAACTCTCTACATATTCAAATAACCGATCATCGTCGCACAAAAGAGATGCATGCAGATCTTCTAAAAGAATTTCGAAGTTGTTAAAGCCATAAATATTTGTGTCGAGAGAACCTTGATCGAATAAGCCATGGGCAGCAATATATTTGGATTCATTGCATCCTCCGGGAAGTTGCGCAAAGCATGAATGAGTTTCTCAAAGGGTAAATGTATCTGATGAAAAATGTAACATTGTAGCAATGAAAGGAAAATGGTTGGTTGGATCTCAAGAAAATAAGTGTTGTTGAACTACTTACCAAATCATCATGGCAGTATTTCAAAAGGGCCAAACCGACTTTAAAGACAATCGTGACGCCCTGGAAAATCAAAAGATGAAATTTATTTCGTTTGTCTGTTCTTTCATTTATCCAACCACTTGAACCTATATCAAAATTCCAATCACTAACCTCGAAGAGAAATACATCCCAAATTCGGAGAGCCAAAGGAAACGGGAAAGAGTACGAGAATACAGTTATGAACCACTGGCTAGCATACATGCTTGGATTTATCATCTCGCGGCTAAAGTGCTTACCCAGCTTCGGCAATTGCTCCCTCACCAAATGCTCAAACTGAAACAGGTATTGTTGTACAAGAGGCAGCCCGACCTACCAAGTGCATAAAAATTTTCAGTTAACCGATAGAAATAACATAAAATGGTTCATCCAGATCGTATATAGGAAAAATAGGTTTTAAATACAATAAATACCTGGTACAATCCTTCCATAGGAGCATGAACAGCTCCTTTAAGTAATGCAACCAATAACCAAAATGCATCCTCTTCGCTCATATAAAGAAGCAAAAGACCGGCTAAAAAACCCATTCCCTGCATTTTCAACAAAAACGAATAGAATTATTAATCTAGACATGAATGAATACGAGGGGCACCAACTACACGAGACAAACCTGGACATAGCCAACAGCTCTATCGAAGACAGAGTATGCCTTCAAAACATTGTAAAGGGACCTTTGGCCAGGTCCATGTCTCTGCTGAAAGAAAACATGTGTTGGAAAGGTGCGGGATATATCTCGAATTATATCCAGTTCTGATGCAGACGTCTCATAAATAACAAGTTGCTGCAACAGCAAAATGCTCATCAGCAAAGAATACGTACAACAAGGAAGAAGATTTTTATTATAAAAAAAAAGGAAAGAAAGAAAGAACGCAACAGAGAGAATGAAAGAAGGGAACAGTCTTGAGGCCAAACAAGGGGGGAAATCGAATGAGAGAATAACTTAAATATTTTGGTTTTGTTCAAATCAAGGATATTTCGGTGGACTACAAAGAACCACTACCTAAATATTTAGACCTCATCTTCACCAAAAGATTCAGAGAAACATGCTTAAAAGACTAAGGTGACATTTGGTTGGCATGAATCCCTAAGAATTAGGGAGAATTGGAATCTAAATCCACCACTTTCCCATATTTGGTTCAAGTTTTCCAAGGGAATTGGAATCCCACATGGCTTCAACTTTCTATCAAATGAGGGAAAGTGAATTTCATCCATTCTATGATGGAATTTAATTCCTTTGTTGGAGGGAATTGAAATTTGACCAAACTACCCTCATCAATCTTTTGGTAACTTATTCATATTGAATAAAAATATTTTTTTATTATTTTGGGTCGGGTCGGGTGAAACTTTATTTTGATCGGGTCGGTTTTTTTAAGTGTGATATTCGGGTCGGGTCGAGTTCGGGTTTAGGGTGAAAATACCCTACCCGAAAATATATATAATTTTACCTTATATATTTAGAAATAATTACAATAATACCCTTCTATATATAATTTTTTTTCCAATTAAATCACTATTTTTATTGAATAAAAATATTTTTTTAATTATTTCGGGTCGGGTCGGGTCGGATTTCTAATTCATATATTCGGGTCGGGTCGGGTGAAACTTTATTTTGGTCGGGTCGGGTCGGGTTTGGGTTTAGGGTGAAAAATACCCGACCCGACCCAAAAAATATATAATTTTACCTTATATATTTAGGAATAATTATAATAATACCCATCTACATATATATTTTTTTTCCAATTAAGTCACTGTTTTTATTGAATAAAAATAATTTTTATTATTTCAGGTTGGGTTTCTAATTCATATATTCGGGTCAGGTCGGGTGAAACTTTATTTTGGTCGGGTCGGGTCTCGGATGGAGGTTCCCTTGTTCTCGGGTCGGGTAGACCAAAAACCCGACCCAACCCATGGCCATCTCTAATTGGGATGATTTTAACTTATGATGTTTATTAGCATTATTTTTATAATTTATTGAAATGAATAATCAATCAATAAAATTAAAATTTAATTTTTTAAAATTTTTATAATATATTGCTACATGTAATTTATAAAACAAACTAAAATTAAGCAAAAAAAAAAACAGGAAGGGCAATTGTAACACCCTCAACCCGTTTCCGACCCGAATACGAGTCTGGGGTGTCACATTGGCTTTTCAAACTTTGACTCTTGACAAAATTTAAAGAAAATTTAAAACTTTCATTAAAATAAAAACTGTTTATTTACATAAATTGATCAAAATAACCAAAATCGATTAGAGCATATTCAGCTTAAACAATTAGTACATGCCAACTATGTTCAGATTAACCAAACACATTTAAATCATTTATTTTCTGATCTGAAACTTTGTAAGGAAAATGTTGACCTGTCTTGCTCCTCTTAGCTTCTCACTTTGCTTTTCAGAACCTACTTGTGAAACACTCACACGCTAAGTCTATGACTTAGTGAGGCATTAAACACATTAAAGTAACTTTAACTACTTAATCATGCATGAACATATCATATCATGCTATCATACAAAACAATATAGCATTTCATGTAATCAAATGTACACATATACACATCATCATATCAATCATATAATACAATTCATATCACAAAAGCATATAATTTACATGTAATATATATGTTTATTATTATCTCTTTGTTAACCCATGTACATCTATGAGAACTGTAGATATGTGAGTCTATTGAGGTTGTGCACTATGCTATCACCACAGCTCGTATGGGGTCTCACTAAGGGCTATGAATTTTGTCCCGAATGACCACTCCTTAAGAACCATATACATATTTCAATGGATCACATATATGTCTCATAAGACCCTGTAAATGTTCCAAAGAATACATATATGTCCCGAAGGACTACGTAAAACCCTCGACTCTTGGCATGCCAACTATACCTCTAGCTCTCTTTACACATAACATGGGCATTAGCAATCTATCATGTCACATATTCACATGTACACTTTCATATCACGTCATATAAGCTCATAGCTTCTTTCACATATACATGTAGTCACATATCTTCTTTTCATATTCTCATAAGATTACATAGCTTATATCTTATACTTTGTTTTCTCATGTTCACATATATCCTGTCATATGTCTCATATATATACATCACATAGCACATACTTCTCATATCATTGCATTCAAAAGCATGTTAACACATATAATCATGCATACATACAATTTATGTCATGCATATACGTATAATCATATATTCATGCATTCAACATAGGAAATAGACTTGTCACAAGTCTTGTTTCCATTTAACACCATAAACCAATTAATATGCACTCACCTGAGCCTCACTAAGTTCCAATCCACTTTTATGATTTTCCTTTCTTTCGATTGAATCTTAACTTGATGATCGTTTCGGAATTTGTTTGTGTTCGATATCTACATAATCACATATTGATACATATCAGTATCCAATTGATATACTCTAATCTATCATTTCTTAGACTAAAAGAAATGTCTATTTCAATTTCCCCTTGAAGTGCATCGATGCATTCTTTAACATGTGCATCGATGCACTACCCATGCATCGATACACAAATTACCTTCGATGTTTTCATTTTAAGGGGATGTATCGATGCACTCCTTATGCATCGATGCACTAATTGCATTCGATGTTTCTTCTTTAAAGAGTGCATCGATGCACATTGAATATGCATCGATACACCTTGTCCAGAATTTGCATTTGAGCACGAAAATGATCAACTCTTCCCTTAATTCTTCTATTTTAAGCCTCTAATATGTCATTAAACTCAACTACCATTACTTAAACCAACTTATATCTATGTAAATCATCTTTAACCTCAAAATCTTATCTTCCTTATGAAATTCAAGAATCATACTCAATTTCTAACATGTTCCAAATTCCATTCAATTGCTTCTAACTTCTTAATTAGACTCTTGACAAGTCAAATCCAGCTTTAGAACTTCAAAAACCTTTCTATAACAAAAGTCCATTTTTACACCCTTCATATAATTTCCTTTTTAATTCTCTATTCTTGATGTTTAAAGCTTATATAAGCTTTCCTTAACCTTATATAATACTCAAAGAATCAAAATCAACTTATAAATCCAAGAATTAAACAGCTGAAATTAAACTCACCTTTGCTCAGCACGTTGGAGATGAAGAAAGCAAGAAGAAGAAGAAGAGTTTTCTAGATACTCCTTCCCCTCCCACGTGTTTATCTCTTCTTAAAGAGAGAAATAAAAATATCTTTTATGACAAATGATCACTTTGTCCTTAATTCCTTTAATAATTACTAACAACTTTTTGGAAATATTCTCAAATAAATCATTGAACTATTTCATTCTTCTACTTTAGTCACCAAATTCTGAAACTTTATAATCTGATCACTAGCTCGGTATTGAGGATGTTACAGCAATCCTGTCATTTTACATTACTAAAATCAAATTCATCTGACATTTATGCGAACCAAACAGAATATGGAATTGGATTCCAATTCAATTTTCTGCCAACCAAACAGAATATAAAATTGGATTCCAATTCCTGACATATTCCAATTACTTCACAGATTCCAATTCTCTCAAAAACATTACAGCGAACCAAACGCCACCTAAGATGAAACCGATCAACTGGTTTAGGTAGTCATGAATAATTGATGTAGAGCTTATTGGGTGCATTTAAGCAAATACAATCTTCTTTCACTTTCAAATTTCTTCTTCTGGTGACTCAACCGTAATCTGATGAAAGAAACATAGAACATAACAAAAGTAGGCCTGGAAAATTCCCATGCATAAAATAACACGAATTGCCAGTGGGGCATTAAGTTGAACGAAAATAGTATCCATGAGGTAAGAATTAAACACATAACGGTTGTATTTGAGTTAGAAAACAGAGTGTAAACATAGGATAAAAGAAAATTAATAATGAAGCTGGAAACAGACCAATTTTCACCCCTTTTACTGTTAGAGAACTTAGCAAAATTGCATGTTAAGACATAAAGGAAAGTCAAGAAAAGGCCATAGCATTCCAAAATAGTACAGATTGTTAAAAAAAGGAATGCCAAAACCTGCACGAAATTAAAAGAAGTACCTCATAAACCCCTGGGTTCATCAGCAAGAGGTCTCGGCTTCCGGAGATCAACTGCCAAACAAGACCCCTTAAACAATCAGGAATTCCTTTCCTTATACGCCTTTTAACGACATGAGGCTTTCTCCTCACATAATGTTTCCAATCACTCCCACCAACCCCAATCATTTTCCTCCATTTTCTTACACTTCTAGCTTCCCTGGAAGTTTTCAATCACCATAAAACACAATCAAAATCAATGTTTATTAGCACGAAGTATAAAATCATAAAGACAGATACACTCATATCATCTAATAGAGATCGACACAAGAATTAAAGAAAATATAACTTTTCGTATTCAACCACTAACCTACTCTTTGCTAAACCTTCCGCAGCGCTACTATTACTAACATTCTGCTTTATAAAACCATATCTGTCCACGGGTGGTCCTGGCTGAAACGGTACTGGTTCATAGTCATCGATTCCTCTACCCCTTTCCATTTTACTATTCAAAGAAGCGACGGCATGCCAAGTGGCAAACCGACTAACTTTCTTCTAACCTTCAAGATGGAAAAGCACCGCGAATGTGTTTGATCACGTACACGGGCAGAATCTGGTAGCAGTAAAAGAAATCAATGACGAATCTTACAGCCACAATAACCAAGACAAGAGTAAGTCAACTTTTAAAGGACAACTCTATTATTCATCACACAAAGAGTCAATCTAAAATGATAGAAGTATCAAATAGACATACCTTGCTGCAAGCTGGATCTTTTTTCAAATATATATACAGAGTAACAGAATATATATCATTACCATTACCATATACCATATAAAATATCATTAAAAATAATAATCACAATTCGCAATCAATATGAAAACATGCAAATTCATTATTTAATAACATCAATTATAGACAACAAGAGGAAAGTATAATCCAGCTAAGGAAAAGGCTAAAAGAAACAAAATTGAACCTTTTTTATCATCAACGCAAATAAAACAGTAGATTTTCGAACCAAGAAACACGTTAAAAAAACAATTAAAAGAGAGAAACAAATGTAAACGAGAAGATCAAAAGGAGAAATTTAAAACCCACCAATATTTCACAATAATACAAAATGGGTATTCCAGAAATGCCAATCAATCAATGAATTATGATTAAAAACGAAAATAAAAAGATCCATGCAAGAAGTTATAAGAAGAAGAAAAGAAAAAAAGCAACAAACCTGGGAGCTTGTTGAGGAATTTGAGAAGTAGATCGAAGAAGATGCTGAATTGATGGGGTTTAGTAAATGGTTTATAAAGAGAAAGGGCAAGGCTGGTGGTTTAGTTCTGTTGCCATTGTTTCACCAAACACGGAGCTGAACGGGCTTAGCCTTCAAGCTTTTGAAACCCCTTTCCATAAATATCAGTGCTTCGAGGAAGATGGTTTCAAATTGGTTAAATGGGTCTAGATATAAATAGAAGAGGCCGCAGCATTAAAGGCTCACGTCCGGTTAATCCAATAATGTTTTTATAGAGGTAAAATGATAAATTCAATCCTCAAATTTTTTATTTACTATCAAATTGATCCTTATCTTTTATGTTAAATTGATATGATAGTTCGTGTCTACTTCGTTCAGGATGGAACTAGGATTCTAATTCAAGGGAGGAAATGTATAATTAACAGTAAAAAATGAAAAGGAAAAAATAAATTAAATTAAATTTTAAATTTTAAATAGATATTTATTCGTATATATTTTTTAAATGATAAAAATTAAGGGCAATGTCCCCTCAACCCAACACATACCTCTGTCCTTGATTCATTATTGTCGTAGAATAACAATAATTAATAAATAATTTTTAGATTTTTAAATTTTTAATATTTTAAATTTTTAAAATTAATTTATTATAAAATTATATAAAATGATATTGACTAATTAGAGAAAAAGGGTGATATCATTTTAGACGCATAAGTTTTATCACATTAATCAGGGATGAACTGATGAAGGCGAGTGAGTGTTCCCTAGAAATTTAAAATTACCATATATTTTAAAAATTTTATGTATTTTTTATTAAAAATATGTTTCTGCCCCCTAAAATTCTATAAGTTAGTCTCATCTTAAAATTTTAGAAGTTCGCCTCATAGTATAAATTTTTGTGTCCATCCATGATGTTAACAACAAGCAATTATTGTTATTTAGCTAATGATTTTCATAATTCTATCCAACCATGGCTATTATACCTTAAATTGAAAGATTAAGGACTAAAACACTAAAAAATATAAATTAAAATGACTATTCAATCGAATATTAGAAACATTTTTATCATTATATCAATATAAAAATAACAGGAACATGAACAAAAAAATACACAAAGTTATAGTATGTTATCAACTAATTCGAAGAAGGGTAAACAAAAATTCAAATTTTCTAATTTTGTTCCTATTAATGTATGCATATATATATAACTATTTTATTAAAATATATTTTATGATGGTTATATTTTTCATTTTTAAAATATTATTTTAAATTTTTTATTTTTATTTAATTGGTGACGACATCAGTCTTATTGTTGGTGATTGACTATCAATATTTTTTTATTTTCTATTATTTTCTTATATTCTTTGATTTATCTTTTTTTCTTAGTTTTTCATAAATCTACTTTTAACATATTTTTTTTTCTATTGACATGTTTTCGATTTTCTTTTACAGATCATTTGACCATTCCTTTTTTCCCCTCGTAGTTGGATTTAGAAACCTAAGAAATATAAATATTAATTCATGATATCCAAAGACATTTCGATAAGAATTCCTCTAAGAACCATTGAATTAACATACAGAAAATCGTTGTTTCATCTTTGATATATCGAATTACCGTGAATGATTAACCCTATAGTATTATAGTACATAACTTTGGAATATAAAAGAGGAGAGATTTATGAGAGAAGAATGTAAAGAAGGTGCTCAAATTTCATTCATACTGCTCACTGGCAAAAAGGATTCACACATGTTGAAATTAAAAATAAGAAACAAAATCCAAGTCTAAAATGGCCATCCCCGCCACCAGTTCAATATTACATCCTTTATGAAGACACTAGTTTTTTATTTCATTTGTTTTATTTATTATTATTATTTTGTTTTAATATTATTATTATTATTAAATAAATAATAATTATTATTACAAACAGGCCAAGTCCGGCCCAACCCAGACGAGCCCAGTTACAAGAGACCAAACCCAAACCCATATGGCCCAACAATAACCCTAAACCCATCTAGGGTTTATATCATCACCAGCAGCCGCCTCCACCTCAACCGTTGGATCTGGTAAGATCCAACGGTCCAGAAGCTTCCAGAGGAAACCCTAAGGTATCACAACCCTAGGGCCACGTCCCAGCCGCCGCTGCTTCCAGAAGACCCCAGCTGTCGCCTCCAGATGTTTTCAGCCGCCCCACGTCGACGTTCCAGCTGCCGCCGCCCTCAAAGAAGCCTCCAGAAGTGCCACTGAGCCATCCACATTGCTACCCTATGGTGAGTCACCACCATAGTTCGGTGACTCACTGAGGGCCATTCCATTACCCGGTCCGATGAACGTCTCGACAAGGCTATAAAGCCTCGGTTCGCCTGAAAACAAAGGAGGAGAGCAAGAACAGAGAACAAAAAAAAGGAAAAAAAATAGAAAGCAAACCACAAAATAAAAAGAGAAGAGCGAGAGAAACTTACCGGGGAAGACAATAACTCGATCGGAGTCACCACCGGCCTCCAAGCGTCACCAAAAACCTTCGAAAACCGAAGGTATTTTCCTAGATTTACTCCGATCGGGAGCTATTTAAGAGAAAGGAACACTGGAACTGTCATTAGGACGGTCCGATCTACGTTTTGGTATAAAAATAAAATTTTCCGGCCACCGAATGCGGTGGCCGGTGGCCGGCGGTGGGGATTACGGCGGCAGACGGCTGCCGGCCGATGACCGGCTTCCCTCTGGTGAGGGAAGCTAGAGAGAAGCGAGAGAGAATTCTCTTCTCTCTCAGTTAGAGAGAGAAGAGAAAGAAGAGAAATGGAAACGCTGGCCCTTCGGGCCAGCTGGAAGGAGAGTATATACCCCTTCCTAAATGATGTCGTTTTGGGAAGGGGTATATCCGTAATTTCACTATTGGCCAAACCCTTTCCGCAGCCATCTTAGTTTTGTAACATTCCATTTTAGTCACTGAAATCAAATTCTAAATGTTTTAATTTGGTCTTTTAATTTTGTTTACTTTATAATTTAATCACTAATATGTTTATATAAATATTTTAGATAAAATACGGATTTAGTCCTTTAATTTTAATAATTAATATTTTAATCTCGAGTACATATTTTTAATTTATTTTAATCTGATATTCGAATTTAATATAATTTTATTTTAGTCACCAAATTAATAAATGGATAAAATAACATGTTTAATCCCTGTAATTTTAAATAATTAATTACGAATTAGGTATTTAATTCTATTAAGTTATAATTTAGTCACTAATTTCAATTTTTATAAGTTTTATTTATTTTAAATATATAGTTTCAATTTTGTTCATTATATGTTTACTTTTAATTATTATTACTATTATTATTTAGCCATAAATATATATATTTATAATATTTATTTTATTTATTAAAATCTTATTTAATTACTTTTAACTTATTTTAATCTTGTTTTAATATTTATTTATTTTTCAATATTAAGAAAGGACAGTCTTAAAACAACTGGATGTCCATTTTCTAATATTTTTAAATAAATAAATATCCTATTTTATAAATTATATATTAATTGTTTTAATTATTTATTTATTTTTTAATATCGAGGAAAAGAGCTGTCTTAAGGCACCTAGAAGTCCTTTTATGATATTTCTAAATAAATAAATATTTTATTTATAAATATATATAAATTAATATATATTTTTCATAATTATAATTTTAAAATAATAGGATTATAAATTAAATATATTTTGATTTTTTAATTTCTAATAATAGAGACAATTTATAATAAAAAAATACCAATTTTGGGCGTTGTAGGGGTGTTAATCCTTCCCTAAACGTAACCGACCACGAATCCCTTTTTATTATTAAAAAAAACGAATTTTTGGTTATAAACGCAGATCAGTTCATCTTTTAACTGATGTTTTCTTAAAACTCTTTTAAAAGATAATTTTTAGGTATTCGACCTACCTAACCCAAAAGGCCGATGGCGACTCCCAAATTATTTTAAAAACCATTTATTCACATCACTTTTCCCGCCAAGTAAAAATTCGTGCCCGAGCGAAAACCGGTTACGACAGCTTGGCGACTCCGCTGGGGACCAGTCAAACTTTAAAATCAATTGTAAATTGTCTCTATCAGTTAGAAATTAAAAATTCATATATTTAATTTTTAATTCTTTTCTTTCAAATTTTTTATTACTTATTACTTATTATTTTTATTACTTATTATTTTTTATTTTATTTAATTTATTTTATTCAAGAATTAATTATTTATTGTCTGTTAGAGGTTTGAACATTTCTCCTCACACACAAACACTTACATTGCATAACATAAGCTTTCTAATCAAGCTTGTCCCTTTTAAGTGGGAGTGAAAGCGACGTCTTCATGAGAATTTATTCTCCGTGTCAGACCTAGCAAGTAACTTTTGGGATTCATATGCTCTATGTCTTCGTGAGAATTTATTCTCCGTGTCAGACATAGACAAGTGTATCCCCTCGAATTGAACTCGATCCATTTTAGTCTGTGATGGACTAGGATAGAGGGTTAGTAGCCCAAGGGGGCACTAACAAGGACAATTCGGGTACCTTTACTCCTAGAATTGAAACCTTGCATATAATAAACCCTAGAAACTCTCCCGATTGGAAACCATGCTAAAATTTTGTCAATAGGTATACACAAAGGAGAAATAAGCTCTAGCTTTTAATTTATTTCCTTTTTTTTCCTGAATAAATGCATGTGAACTAGTAATCATGTTGTTAGGTTAATTTTTCCAAACAAAGCATGGAACTAGAAAGCATGAAGTTAGGAAATATTATATACCATGATAGGTAGAATATTTTCTTTTCATTAATTGGTACTTACCAATTTATTTATTTTCTTTCTCATTTTTATTTTTCATACATTTTGTTTGGTTTTAACTTGTTTATATTGATTTCTTTTGTTTTGTGCCTGCATTACATGATCATGGCATAACCAAAGGTGTTGACTTAAAAGACTGTTCATCAAATTGGAAAGAAATCGTAAATGGACAAAAAGTTTTATGATCAAACAAAATATGATGCGGCCAAGGAAAGACATCCTGAAGAAACTACGAGGATCGAGGGAAGTTCTGTACATAGAGAACTGGTTATATTAATACCAAAAGTATTACACAAAGATCCTACCAGATTGATACCAAAAGCAGTCTATGGTAAGAGCATCAGTCAGGGCATTCAG